GTTGACGTTCAGCTTCTGGTTGTTTATAACAAGTGGTGTTTTATATACTGAGTTTTATAATTTGTGTTTATCATCTGCCGCTTGTCAGGGCAGGTCAAAGTAGTTTTAGTGATGGTAAAAAACAGGTTGAAACACAAAAAATGACAGAGACTAGTTCGTAATTGGGCAAGTGGATGCATCAGTGGGACCTCGATACTCCTGATCGCTATTGCGCAGACTGTCCAAATGACGTCACAGATGCAATATAGCAGCGTTCAGATCTGGGATAGTTTGGCTTCCTTTCTGGATTGTGGGAGAAAGTGGAGAAGCTTTTCTCATCTTTATAGACAGTCTGCAGGTGAGAGTCAACTAAAACATAAAGGCTGTGGACTAAACTACAATGAGCTTATGGGGACTAAAAATCTACTAATCAACTTTACACACAGTGATTTGATCCATTGTTAATAGAACATTATCCATTAGTGCAAGTTTATAGTTCATTGCAAACGCAAACCAGGCATGTTTCTTTTCTTCTTTAGTGGGAAAATGAACTTGGCTCCAAGTCTTTTGCAAAGGAATCTAAATACACCCCTGTGGAGGCAGATTTATGACCGTGCACTTCTTTTACCTCCAAAGAAATCAACAAGAGCAGTTTTTCAAAACATGGAGATCCAATGTCTTTATATACGTGTGTATGTATTCCTTTGTTGACATGGCACAGTTCACCATGATACGTGTATGTGTACATGAGTGTGTCTATCTATATATCTATCTATATAGATACATATATATGCATTTATCAATCAAGCGGATTACTGTTTACAGAGCCAAGAGGAATGTCGGTCAGTTTCCCTTCGAAGAAAAAAAAGAGGGGATGTTGGTATTTCCTGAAACGGCTCTCGAGCCGTGCGAGAGAGAGAGAGAGTGAATATCAACGATAACATTATGAGCATCTTCTTAGAATATAATATGAAAAGACAACTGTACTGTTTTAAAGTTCATTTGGGTGTTTTCAGTAGATTTAGACCTCAGCTAATATTAGTGTAATCATATAGTATCCAAGTACGAAATATAAAAGGTTTACAATGTAAAACATTGAAACAACTTTTGAAAACACAGTAAATTACAATCTATATCAACTTGTAACAGGAGATCATATTATTTGTAGAACAAAAGTCATTCAGTATGATCTACATTGATATATTTATTATAAACCTTTTCAGATATTCTATTAAACTAGTTTAAAATTTGTGAAAACATCTTCATTAGTAAATTGATCTGGCAAGGGTGTGGTATGGGTCAGGGATGAACCCATTACATTTGATGCACATGTGGATCAGGGGGCAGATCCAGGAGTTATTTGACACTTTCTTTAACATTGTGAGAAAGAGCATTTTTCAACATTATAATTAAATCTTAAGTCTTTCATTTCCGTTGCATTGATTTTTGATTTCATCTCTTCCCATGTAAACTTACGGCATACGGCTGATGCATCTGGTTTAATTGTAATTTACTTTGTTGGAAATTAAAAAATTAATGTTGCAAAGTTGCAAAATTCCCTTTTCAACATCAAATCTCCAGCCATGTTGCATCACCTGACGTGAATACTGCGCGCTGATTCGCTGAACAGAACAGCACTGCTGCAATATATTTAACATCAGACATTTTGCCTTCTCACAGGAAAGTCACAGGAGTAAAGGGTGAAAATATTCATAGTGAGTCTTGAAGACATCAGAGTCTATGTTAAGACTCACCTTGCTGACCTGAACATTATGATGACTATCATCCATCGATGGATGAATGTCTTTCTCATAGATGTACTATATATAAAGACAGCACATGGCTCCAAACATGTTGGGACTAAAACATGTTATTTTGGAAAACAAAACTCCAGAGTGTTTAACTTTGGTGGATTTGTTGTTCACCGACTCAGAACAGCCTCCGCCGAGCTGAAATGTGATTCAGATTTCTGGACTTGCGGTCAGCCAAGAGGCCCTGCTTTTCTTCCCTCTCCACTGGTTCAGTATTCCTTCCATCCCCTTCCTCATCTCCACTCGTCTTTTCTCTCTCGGCTGGCTCTGGTTCCTCTCGCTCGCCCACCCCTGCAGAGCAACGCCTTTTCCTTCTCCTCTCTTTTGTGGTTTCTCTCCTTCTCCTATTCTCTCCATTACAACATGCAAAGGCTGATCCAGATCTCTGTGTCTGTGCACAGGGAGGGAGGAGGAGGGGAGTCGCTCTGTAGCTCTGAATTCCACCTCACATCTGGAAACCATCTTCTCTCTCTTTTTGCCAATCCCTCGCCCCCTT